ACTATTTTTCCTCCAGAAGTGATAGAGATGGTGTTTCCATTCCCTCTGATGGTCCTGGCTTTCAAAATGATGCTGGTGACTTCAGGAGCATTAGCCAGTATTTCTTGGAGAACGACAAGACTGATGAAACAGGGAAGAGATAACAGGGTGTATTAGATACTCAAAGCTTCTCAGTGGTTTGATGAAAATGCATTTTTAGTACATCACCTATAAGGAACACGTGACAGTGGGAGGTAGCTTGAACTGAAAACATCTCCCTTCCTAAAAATGGAGATACAACTCCATCGTGATACAAATAGGGATTTTCTAGCAATGCTGTCTTAGAAGACGGGCCTTTATGGTTACTAATTGTAGTAAATCAGCCTTCCAGAAGGCACCAGTGTGAAACTCCTGTTTCCTATTATGTGATAATTTATAAAAACAAACAGAGAGGCTAAAATGTTTTTGTAAAATCTGTCCCTTCTGTTTCCAGGAGGGGGGGTCAGCAAGCAGAAGCTAATTGGCAAATCAAACAGTAGGAAGTCTAAGTCTCCGATTCCTGGACAGGGATATTTGGGAACTGAAAGACCTTCTTCTGTCTCATCTGTACATTCAGAAGGGGACTACCACAGACAGACTCCGGTGTGGACCTGGGAAGATAGGCCTTCATCTACAGGTGAGAAATGGGTTTCTTTCAAACTTAACATAACGGGATGTGATATCTGTAGAAAGGTCAGATGTGGACATGCTGTTAACACTGGTATATCGTTGAAATGTTTGCAGCACATGAGGATTTTCTGAAGCAGATTTTCAGGTAGTTGTCACAACCAAAACCAGTCTGTCTTTCAGATACACAACTCTTAGAGCAGCTCATGTTTTTGACTTGGAGAAACTCTCTTTGATTCAGGTTCAACGCAGTTTCCTTACAACCCGTTGACGATGAGGATGCTCAGCAGTACACCGCCAACATCCATTGCGTGTGCCCCACCGTCCATGAGCCAAGCAACCACTCACCAACAGAACAGGATATGGGAGCGAGAGCCTGCACCACTGCTTTCAGCACAATATGAGACTCTGTCTGACAGTGATGACTGAACTATGCAGATTTTTTTTTTTTAAATTTGCGGGTCAAAAAAAAGAAATCTATTTTTGACTTGTGCCCATACAGACTTTCCAAGAGAGCAAGGGCCACACAATGAAGAATTGATGGAGAGTCCGTGAAATGCCTTCTGCACAAGCCATGTGTTGGAGGATCATGATCAAGAAGGTTGACTTACTAAAGATAAATATGTAAAGAGTTTTTAAAAATGTGGACTATTCCTGTTCTACATCTATTTGTAAAGAAAACCATAATGTCTTTAAATCATTCTTCTGTAAATAGAGAGTACTTTTTGCAGTGTTTTTTCCCTTGCTATAGTATCTGGTGTACTTATGTTCAAATCATTGCCTAAACTTTGGGGGTCATTTTGTAATTTTTTTTTTTTAAGCATTTTCTCCAGTGTTTAGTACTCTTCATAACCCTAGCCTCCCTACCAACCTAGCCTAATCATAACCCTAGCCTCCCTACCAGCCTAGCATCATTGCCCATTTAATGCCATGCCACTTCTTGCAGGCATTGTGCTTTTATATTTTTTTTCCCTAGACACACTTTCTCAGTGGTGTTCAAGCTCTTGTGAAAATGTTGATTTTTAAGACTGACCCCTTAATGAATTCTGTACATTAACATAGTCCGGTCCGCTGGAATAAGATGATATATTTCTTTGAATTTTAAATTCTGCCACATTGTAAATTTTTGGTGCAGTTGGTTTTATTTAGCAACACTGCAGAAATACTATTGCATGGGTATGTTATGGTTCATTTTTAAAAGGATAAAAAAAAAAAACAAAAAAAAAAACAAAAAAAAAACAAAACCAAACAAAAAACAAACAAAAAGAACAGCTTCTGGAGGCATACCTCACTGTTATGCACACTGGGAATTTTAACTGTGCCCCAAAAGCCTATCTTAGTGTTTTCTGTTTCTGCATTGTATGCAGTCAAAACAGGCTACTAAATTTTACTGTCATATTTAACCATAGCAAATGGCTTATCTGAACAGAGGCTCTGGGTGGGTTAACAAATCCTTTAAGAAGAAAAACCTCTACATCCCAAGTTTAAATAAAACAAAATGCTTTTATAGAATAATTGAGCAACACATGAGTCAACTATTTGGCTTCTGTTACAACCAGTTTGAAGTAGGTACTGTGATTTTTACCTTCCTCCAGTCTGATTTTAAAACCTTTATGTAATAATTATTTTAAAGTCTACATCCCTATCCCAATCCCTAGACCTATAAGCAAGCTTTTGGTGGAAGTACTTACAAATGCTTGGCTTAACTCCTAAAGTGTGCAATACTTGTTAGGGTGATTTTTATTTTTAAATTGTATATGGTACTAGGAGAGTCTCCTTAATCATTCATCTATCAATGCCTCCTATGATATGCTTGTAGCTCATGTATACATACATCTGGTTAGAGATATCACAGGGTGTCCTGACATCCATCTTCAAAAGCATCTTATATTTTGCTGCACTGACCTCAGGAAGTGAATTTAAATCTTCTGGGGTAGAAGGACTGATTTACAGATAGCACTGAGTCGGGGGGTGGCGTGGTCTGTCAGATTCCAAACTGCTTTTGCATCTCATTGATGAACAGAATCTTTGCCTTGAGTTATTTTCCAGTCAAAATATTTTTAATTTTACACTGTATTTGCAATATGTTGTATGGAAGCTATAATGCAGCTGCGTAACCTTAAGCTGTGTAAGCTCTACATCTTATGGAAGGACTGTAATGGTCCAGTCACAGAGGAAGAGGTACAGAACTATTTGTCAATAGCAAATTTACTTGGAGTACTTTAGAGGAAAGCCTTTTTGCCCAAAGTGTGGGAAAGAAAAAATCCAAAGGAACTCCTTTGGAAACTTGACAGTGTGTTGCAAATACAGAATTATTTTGCTACTTTTTTTTTTTTAACCACTGCATCAGAGTAGATCAGTTGGCAGTCTTAAATCTCCTTGCAGTCTTTCTCTAAGAAAGATTTTTCTCACCCTCCCATTCTTTACCTTTCTGGCTTAAAGTAGTGAAGTTTTCATCCTGTTTGTAGGCCTATGCTCTTATTTTAACTTTTTTTTTTTGTTTCTACAGCAACATATACTGGAAAACAAGTTGATCTGCCCTTTTTGTAGATTTAAATTTGGAGTGGAGAGTTAAGTTCCATTCTAAAACTCACTTTTCTCACTTTCTTAGTGTAACAAATACGTGAAAGAGGCATGTACAGACAAACGTCTTTGCTAACTGTACAGTAAGTATAGCATGTTCATTGCAAAGCTTCATGTTATTGCTGCTGCAGCAGCAAGATCTCCAAAGTAGGATAGTCACTTTCTCCTAAGATACAGCTTGAGTGGCATTTGCACATAAAATGTTGCTGCTTTTTTGTTTGTTGAGTTCTAACTTCTCCAGTGTAAAAACCTCTCCAGAGCCTAAGTTAGGGTTTACCACAATTCCAGTAATCTTCAAGTATGGAATTACATCTGACCTGTTTCAAACAGGAAGGTGTTTGTAAATCATGTTTACAAAGTATAGTTTACTACAAATTTTTAACTGATTTCTGATCAGCTCTTTCACAATGCTTTCATCTTGATGTGTTTCGTGATTCTGATATGAAATCATTTAAGACTTGAAAAACCCATGCATCATAAAACTCAACTTTTTTTTTCCACACAATGTCTTCAGTAGACAGTGACTTCTGGATTCAGACCAATCAATAAAGGGGATCAGTTCTCCATTTGCTTTTCCTGTGTCTCCCTCTTGTTTTGCAGCATCAAGCTATGTTCAAGAGAACAAGCAAAATGCTTCCCTTAGGGGCTGCTGCAGGGTTCCCAGTTAACACTGCTGGAGTGTCAAAGGTCTGCCACTCAAAAAACAAAAACCTGAACTTTTAAGATTGGCTCTAATGTGTGAGAGCCTTTCTGTTAGTACAAGCGTGCCTGCAGCAGCCATGTTTTTATTTCCAAGCTTGCAGAAAACAAAGCTGTGTATGTGACTTAAGTTTTTCCAGCTTCAATGAACATCTACTCTTGAAAACCTGCACAGCTTATCTTAGCTCAGAGTTAAAGCAGAGCTGAAGCCACTAATGCTACTGTAAGTAAACTAATAATGCTGCAATTAACAGCTGCAGTTCTTACAAATGAGAGGTTAAAATAATACTCGGTTAGTGACAGAATTATGGTTAGCTCTGCTATCCTAGCTAAATACAGATTTGATAACTTCTGTTTTAATTCTCCTTTGTCTTTAACATTAGGCTTCCCTGCAGGGCAGAACTGAAAAATTCTGTTGTATAAGCAGGCTCTTTGTACTAGAGTCACATGAAAGCATGTAGCTTACAAACCTGACAGTTTGTACATACTGTCTTTTCCAACAGGAAGCCTCTGCATTCTAGCACTGACCTTTCCAAAAAGGGAGGACAGCTTTGGCACTTAGTGTGCTCTTGACTAGGGTAAGGTAACATAGTGTTTTATTTCTGACAGCAGCTCTGTTTTGGTAACATGGTCTCACACCTCCTCTGAGAGGACATGTTCTATCTTTGGATGCTAAATGCTTTGAAGGAAAACACTCCATCTTAGAGCAACCTGTCTGAAAAGGGCATGGAGGTACAGCTCTGTCATAGTACAGGTAGAGTCTAGGAAATGGTCTGTTGAAGTTAATACATACTGACCTGCAGCACTGACAAAAGGAGACCCTGTTGTGCTAGCCAGCATGTAAAGAGTGAGAAAATTCCTGCCTGTTTTCTTTTTCATGACTTAGCTTTATTACAGCTATGTTTTGAAACTGAATATTTCTGTGAACAGTCAGGAGTAGCAAATGACTACTCCTTGACTTAACTAAGTATTAATACCAGGCTAGACTTGCACTTCAGTGGCAGTCAAGACAAAGTTGAATCATTAGCACAGTAGGTCACTCTAACCATAGACTACACCACAAATTTACATAGTTAAGATTTCACAACTTTATTTTGGGCTAAGTTGTTAGGCAATAGCAGCCCTTCTTGTTAAGCAGCCCTTAAACTCCTCATTGCTGTTGCCCTGGAGAACTGCACCAGACTCATCCCAGGCTGCACGTACTGACCAACCCTTGCTGCTGTCAGCCTCCTCAAGGTTGGACTCTGTGGCCAAATTTATTTGGAGCCTTTTCTCCTCTTGGCCAGCTCAGCTAGTTCTTCCTGGATATGCTGGACAGAGGCAATATCTCCCTTCTGTTGTGCCTGCTTGAGAGCTTCTTTGTACACTTGTTTTGCTTGCAGGAAGTCTTCTGTAGCAAGAGGAAAAAGTTGGCACAGCTAGCTACTTACATTGCTCCTCCTGAAACTGACTACATGAAAAGGACAAGCAAGGACTACTTGGAACACATCAAGAACTGGGGAGGTTCAGAAACCATTCAGCATAGGGTGCCAACAATGAGAGCTAGACAGCAGCAGTGATGATAGGACAAGGTGCTGCTTTAGCATTAAGATCTCATGGAAACAAGCATCAAGCATGTCCTCTGTCTTTCTGGAACTAGTTACTGTAGATACAGGACAAAGGAAATAGGATCCCCTGTCAACCTTTTGAGTTAGATGCACTGGTGCTGCATTTATCTTGGCAAGGATCCTTCAGCAGCTGAATTCAATTTGAACAGAACACAGGTTGCCTACACAAACTCAGCAGACCTGCTGCTTAAACCGGAAATAGTAGCACAAAAATAACAGTATAGTTCAATCCTACAATATAAGCATCCACAGTCAGCACAAGCACAGTGACACAGGCTGGACACTTATTTACCTACCTTTGTGCATCAGAATTGCTGCCAGGTTATTCAGCACCATGTGCTCCTCGGGGTGTTGAGTCTCCTTTGCCAGCTCAGCTGCCCTCTTCACATAGGAGTGCGCCTCATCGTAGTGCCCCTGAGCATCCAGGACAGTTGCTAAGTCATTCATCAGGACCACAGTCTGCACCAGGACAGAACAGGAAGCCTCAAGACTAGTGAAATCTAAGGCAGCAGGAGCACCACTCATACCCCTGTCACACTAGTAAAAGTAGTATTTCCCAGAGAAGCTTTCAGTAAGGGTCTTATGTTTATATATCAGCATGCTCCTTCTTCCTGGCAGGAAAGCAGAACCTAATTTAGTGCTGTGTACATCTGATGCCAGCAAAGCTGCTTTTAAAGCTGCCTCATTCCCTAGGAGATTAGCCTTTCTTTCCCTAGCAGTCCAACTACCATTGTACACATCACCTGTGGATGAGTCTCTCCCTGAACATCATTTGATATCTGCAGAGCCTTCTCATACATTTTTTGGGCCACTGGGAGCTGGTTAACGTTTAGGAGATAGCGAGCATAGGAGTCTAGGCTCATCCCAAGCAAGAGACGGGTGTTGGCCTTTTCTTCAGCTGCAAATAGAGAGGAGTGGAAGTGATCACTTCTACAAGATCAAGCCTGAGTCTCCATCCTACAAGAGTAGGAAACTCATGCAGTGTGAAGATAAGGGACTGACGTGAAGGCAATATGGAAAGCAACATCAAGGATGGGGAAATAGAGAAAAAAAAAATAAATGAGAAGCCTCTGGCTGACAAGACAGTCCTACCTGGTAAGACATCCTCAGGCAAGTCCTTTTGCTTGGAAATCTTCTCCTCTAAGGTCAGGATGCAGAACTCGTAGCCAGCCAGGGCTAATTTGTGCCTGCAAAGTGCAACAACTGAGCAAAGCAAGGCTCCTTCCATCCCTGAAGGCAAGGAGGTGAACACCTTCAAACCCTCATTCTAGAGGCCCTGTAAGACAGCTTTAGCTCTCAACCAGACCTTTCTTGCCCTCAGTGCTTTCTTCTAGATCATGGCCTGGACCTTTCTCTTGACCCATGGGCTAAGGGATCCAAGAGGTAGAAGGGACGCCCATCCCTCCCGATAAGGCCAGTTAAGGCAACCCATGCCATTGCTGTACTGAAAAATGAAGCCACAAGTTACCAGCCATCAGCTGCTTCAAAAGCTGCTTCTCCCGTGAGGTGTGGATTTAAGACTAAAGAGCTACCTCCTCTGTGGCAACTTCTGCCCTAAGCTGGGCAGGTCCTAACAGCAATCACTGTGCTGCATGACAGTGGCTAGACAAATACCATGGCCGTGGGAACCTCGATGTTCATGGTATCTCGTCACATCACAGCTTCCTCTGGCACTCTATTCTTAGAGGAAAGCCTCTGCTTGGCCACCACTACCACTGTGAAGCCGAGATAAAAGCAAAAGATGCCTTTAGCAAGGAACTCACTGTTTCTGAGCAGCATAGATACTGGCCAGCTTAAGGGACATCTCAAGGATTGCATTGTCATCCTGCCAGGAGGACATACAACACAACTGTCATTCTTCTTGCATCTCCCCAGTAGAAACATCGGTTTGTCAGAGAACAAGTTAACACCTTAAAAATCCCCACCCTGTTGTCTCCAGAGCTGCCATCCATTAAAGGAAGTTCCTGAAAAGCCGGCAAGCTCATAGCTAGTGTTGCCCATTTCCAGTAGAAGGTGTTACAGCCCAATGAATAGACCAAAGAATTGTTAATACTTCCCCTTGAAAGCCTTTATCAGAAGAATATACCTCTTTTGTGTCCTCTGCAAGCAAATAACTCATACTTGCTTTGTAGAGCTTTTCGGCCTGAAATGAGAATTTTGAAGACAATACTGAGGAATGATGGCACTTAAAAGCAGACTACTGGGAGAAACCTGACTCACAATTTGTGTCATTTACATTGTATGTCAAGACCAGTTAGAAGTGAAAGGCTAACCAGAGCCCAATGGTACTGCCAACTACTAGGTCCTTTCAGTGTCTACTTTAGGACTGCTACACCAGCCATAAGTTTACCACATTTGTGTGCTTTCAGGGCTTTCCCAGATTCTCGTGGGAGAGCCATCCAAACGCTTGACTGTGGCATTTAACAGTAAGTACTGTTTCTTCCCTTGCACGCCATGCTGGAGCTCAAAGTTTAACTATGAACGCATCTTTCTTCACAGCATGTGCTCCACGGGCCTGCAGTCCCGGGGCAGATTATTCTGCTTTATGGTGAGAGATCTCTGCCTCACAACTCTCAGTATGCACCTTGCCACAGCATGCTACACCTTCAAGATCTCGCACAAGATGTCAGCCTCTTAAAATTCGGGGTGGGGGGGGGAGGAACCAAAACAAAACAGAGTTACTCACATCGTCCAGCTGTCCCTGCATGAAGGCCACGTTTGCCATCTGGAAAAGACCAGACAGTGCTGAAGCTCCCCCAAGGCTGCGGGGATTAACCCCAGCGCAACTGCTTTTCCTCCCACCTGCACTGCAGCCCCAGCACACGGAACTGCGGCCCCGCGGTGCTTTCTACCACGGCCGGGACACGACAGGGGCCAGCCCCCCCGTCCCGCCTCACCATGCTGTAGGTGTAGACGATGGCTTTCCTGTTCTCCGACTGCTGCGACAGCCGCAGGGCTTGGTGCAGAACCTGCTCGGCCTCCCCCAGCTCGCCCTTCATGACGCTGAGCTGCGGCGAGAGGGGAGAAAACCGAGGGGCGACTCACCTCGCCGCAGCCCCGCTGAGGGAACCCCCCTGCCCGCGGGGGACGGCGCCTCACCTTCGCTCTCTTCAGCAGGAGGATAATGGCGTCCTCGCTGTCCTCCTCGACGTCCCTGGCGAAGAAGGAGAGGGCTGCGGGGCGCGGGTGACCACCACCCCGCCACCGCCGCCCTGCCGCTCCCCGCCCCGCAGCCCGCCTCACCTCCCAAGAAGCCCAGGGCACCCCCGGCCAGCCGCCGCCGCCCCCGCCGCGCAAACCCCGGCCCGCCGCCCGCCTTCTCCCCGCGGGCCCCGCCTCGCCAGGCGGCCCGGGGCAGCGGGAGCCCCGCGGGGCCTGGCCGGGCGGCCAGGCGACACAGAACCCGCCGCACAACCGCCGCCAGCATCCTCTCCCCGCGGGCCCTTTAAGAGCCCGCCCCCGCCACGTGACGCGGGCCCGCGCGTCACCCGGGGGCAAAGGCCGCTTGTTGCTATGGAGACGCGCCCGCATGGCCGCGCTGTCCCAGGTAGGCCCGGCCTCGGGGTCGCCGTCCCAGAACCGGCGTCTCTAAATAGCTCCGGCGCGGCCCCACCGGCCCGAACGGAGCCCCCCGGGGCCCGCAGCGGGGAGCAGCCGCCGTGCGGCAGCCAGGCCCGCCCCGCCGCGGGGCCCCGGGCGGCGGTGAGTGGGCTGTGCGGCCTCCCCTGCCCGGAGCTGCCTTGGCCCAGCGCCGGGATGCTCCAGGCCGGAGCCTCTTGTTGCCAGCTGTACGCGCCCGGTCCCCATCCCCGGGATCTGTTTGTACGGCAGGGGGTGTCGGAAAAACACCCGTGTGTTTTTGAGAAACGCTTTTTTTTTTTTTTTTTTTTTTTTTCCAAGAACGTGTAAAAAAACACATTTCAAAAATTGCTGAGGATGCCCTTCCTTGGGCTCACTGCAGGGTTGAGATAGAGCACTGCCCAGAAAAACTGTCCTGGTTTGTAATATCTACGGTGAACTTAATGATTTCCCACTGTCTCCTGTTCTCTCCTGTCTTCCTTCCAGTCATGAGGGCAGTGCCAGTGAGATGGATAGTACCTTGCCAGCAGTAGCAGAAGAGCTTTTGAAAGAGATCAGAAAGGCTTTTCAGGAGACCTCACACGGTACGTAAAGAAAAACAGAACAGCAGGCGGTGGGCCAGTAATACTGGCACTGTCCAACCTTCAGGTAGCAACGAGGGTTGTTGGTCTCCCCTTGTTTGCTTCTCCTGCAGACTGTCGCGTAAGGGGTGGCCTTTGCTGTCAGGCGTGGCAGGTTGTATCAAGTGTTTTCAGCTTTTGTGTCCCTGTCTGGAGACAACACGAAGGGCTTTGAAGCACTGATAATGAGGAGCAGCCCCCTTATCAAAGTCAGGCCCCTTTCAAAAATTAGACTGGGTTGGACACTTTTTTTTAAACATGGGGCCTAGGACAATTCTGCTTGCCTAGAGCTTGTCGTTTAGGTGATTGCACTTGAGGGATGATAATTTACATACCTGTAGACAGGCATTTTGTTGTGCCTACTGTACTGCTGTTTTTATAGACTCGCTAATTTCAAACCTAGGGTTGAAAGGGAAATCTTCATAAAAACGATCACTGACCGGCAGAGGGTGTTGTGTCAGTGATCCCAGGGCAAAGAACAACTTTCCCATTGCTTGAATGAAGTAAGAGCAAGCCAACAGTTAAATCTTGGCCAGTTCTAGCAGCTAATTAAGAACAATTACTTTCATTGCGCTCTGGATTACTAATGTAGTTCTGTAATCTGTACTGAAAGAATATTACTGTTTGTGTTTACTTGATAAGTACCACAGAATGTTTTTTTCTAAGGAAAGTGTCTTTAAGGAATATTTTTAACTGAACTAAAACCAACCGAATAAACATTCAGAGAAGTCTGTCTGAGCACTACATTTTAGCAGGGAGTGGGCAGAGACTTCATGTCTAAACTGTCAGAGTGAGCACATTGACAGCGTTTTGGCATACTTGCAGTATGGCTCCTGTCAGGTTAGAGTAGGTCCAAAATCTACATGTGACTTCTAAAAAGAGCTTTATAAGTCCCGTTGTAAACTAGAAAGAAAAAGAAAAAAGGTCAACATTCCTTTTAAGGTGTACTTCTCCTTAAAGGACCAAAATAGTATTAAGACATACACTGAGGCATAACTGCAGAAACAAACTGATCAATCACTTTGAAGAATTAAATTAGAATAAAGTTGGAAGAGTCAAACCAACAGTGTAAGTCATAGAGAATATTTTTAATTGTTGGAACAAAGGACTTTAGAGTCAAAAGTCCTCATCTTCCAGTGGAATACAGAGACATAGTACACTGTGTCCCATTCGTGATAACAGAAATACCATATTGGATTATCAGAGCCTAAGATGTTAGCTACAACAAACAGACTCATTTTCTTAAGTATAACTTTCCATCTTAACAAGAAGTTCCAATAAGCAAAGACATTATGTTTCTGTGTTTAAAAAGCTATAAACTAGTGGCGCCCTGCAAGACTATGCTGGGAAAAGAACAACATTTTTAAAGTTTTGATGCCAGAGTTCTCAACTCATGCCAAGAGAGTTTCAAGGAAACCAACATATATATTTTTAACCAGCTTCTTAAAGTGGCAGAGTAAGATGTTGAGGCTGCATGCCTTTTCTTGTATGCTTTTAAAAGTAGGATATTATAAAAGTAAGTCTGTTTGGGCTTCTGTATTTCTTTTTAAAATTAATCCCTGTGGCTCTGATTGCTGTACTTGATAAGTGCATTAGCACTACAACAGCAGATCATTTTGCTGCTCCTTGTTGCTTTTTGGTGGCTAGAGAGGATGGCTAGAGCACTGCAGTCCTGTGTGGCCTCTGGGGGTACATCAGGGAGACACTAGCCTCCCGGTGATGTTGATGTCTCTCACAGTGGGGAAGTTCAGCAAAATCACGTTTCATTTTCTTTTTGTTGCAGTCCCTGATGACCTGCTGCTGGGGTAAGTATCTTTTGCTTCAGTTCTTGTCCCAAGCAACCTGCTAAAGGGCAGCTGATAATCTGCTCTCATCAGAGTACTGCTATTTTTTTCCTGTGTTTGACCAGTACATGTTTCTCATTCAGAGTTGCTACCTGTTTTTGCTGGTAGTGGAAATGAAGGTCCACAGAGACAATCTCAAGGGTTTTTCCAGAGATTCATGAAATTATCTTTGTATCTCGGAATCTCCTGTGATGACTTGTTCTAATTTGGGTGGATTAAACATGCAGAAACCCAGAATGTTTAACCTGAGCTTTGAGTCCACCCTTAGATCTGGCATGAGTTTTCTCTGAGAGTGGACTGTGTTTCAGAGTGATTCATGCCGCTGGAGTGCTGCATTTCCACTGTGTGCGTATCACCGTGAGCACAGCAGCTTCCAGAGATCCCTTCTTCTGTTTGAGTCATGGGCATGTGTGATAGAAAGGGAGAAGTGAACGTATCATCTCTCTGCACAAGAGAATTGTTAACTTGAAGATTACCCTGAGAGTTAGTTTTCTTCTGTTTTGAAGAAGTCTTGGGACAGCTTCATCGCCCTTGTGTTGATTGAAGCTTGTGAATGTTTAAGTCATTCCCAAGCAGTCTCCTAAGAGATGCAAGTTTCACAACTTCTGCAGCCCTCACTAATTGGTGTTGAAGGCAGAGAAAAGGCACCACCACAGTGAGAAAGGCTTTTCAGATTAATCTTTAACTTTGTGTTTCTGCCTGCCTGTAATATCCAGGAGAAGGGATCACCAGGAACCTTTCAGGCCTTAATATCTTTGGGTCTGAAGTTATCTAACATATCCCTTGTGAAAGGTATGCATGCTGGCTCCCCCTTCGGGGACCACAGTGGCCTTTGAAGGGTGGGACTGTATTTGACAAGTCTCGTAACTTTTTGTTTCCTTCTTGTCACAAAAGAAAAGAAGGGGAAAGAAATTTCCTTGTTAAGTTTAGTAACGGTTGGGTGGTAACTCTTGGCAGTCGGGTTTCCATCAATTCCCTATGACCAGAGGCTCAGAAGTATTCTGATTTAATTTATGAATCTATTCCAAATCTCTGAAGTCCTTGAATTTCCTCTGGGCATTCCTTACTTATTTCCTGTTAGACTGATCAAATTATATACATGGAAAAAGAATTCCCCAAATTTGAAAGAGTTACTGAAACTCATTAAACTCAGCCCCCTTATAGTCCCACACCTAATCATTAAGGAATGTCTTACATTGAGTGTTCCCCCACCCACCTCCTCTCAGTCCTCAGATGAAGCCAATCCTTATTGCCTTGAGTTTGTGCAACTGAAGTTTTGTCCTTCCTGGAATAAGTCTGTCTGCTTGGCTTGCTATCAATGAGATTGACTCAGACGCGTAGGTCAGCCATGCTGCTGAGACGCCAGGGCTCTGCCTTGGCTCTTTGTGTCTTCACTGGAGTTGGAAATGTTCCCCTGCTTTCTCCTGTTCTCCTGCTCATGTTTTGTACTATCTTTTCATCACTGCTGATTTTCTTGTTGTTTACCCTTGTAACTAATCTAGACTACACAGATTTTTCTCAGCGGATAAAAGGTCTGTAAAGTTAACTCAGTTGCCTCTGAACTCTCTGGAGCACATTCAGAGCAGCTGGATATACAGGTCTGGAATAACTTTTAAGCCTGTGAGCTGTCTGGACAATAGGCTAAAGGTACAGATGTCCATATTGGACATACAGCTTGTCATATACCCTTGCACATCAGCAGGAGCTGAAATCCTCCTTGCAGGGATGTGCAGACAATGAGACTGTAGATGGAAATTACTGTGCCTTCAGCACTCACAGCTCTCTTTTTTCCACTTTCTGGTGTGGAATTTTACAGCACCGAGCACAGCAGCAGCCAGACACCAGGACATCCCTCCATGGTGCTGCCTCACAGCACTGAGGCCAAGGAGAGAGTTGTGTAAAGGCAGCATTTTGCAGGAGGCAAACGTGTACCTGAGCAAACCTGGCTAACCTTGTCTTTACCCCATTCCAGGTACTCTCTGATCCATAAATGCGGTGCAGTGATACACCCCTGCATGGTGATGTGTCCTGCTTGGAAGGAAAGAAAAGGGAAAGGGTTTTTAGGGAGGGTCGAGTGACATAAGGCATGTGCTGTCCCTGGGTGTTTATCTGGAATAAATTTGCTGTCTCTGAGCCCTGCTGGTGACTGAATTACAGATATAAAACTACTGCTATCCTGTGGCTCCATGTGTAGTGGAGTGTCTTAAGTATTTTCCTGATGGTCTTTATGTTTCCTGTTGATTAAGTTTGATCGGTAGATAAAGAATCATTTATATCACAGTGGCTGTGGTAGAGGAGATGTGATCACTACAAAATGACTCATTCATTCTCCAGGGTGTAAACCAGTTTCCCTGAGATGAGGAAGAAGCTCTACTGCTGCATTTCCTATTGCTCAAGGAGCTATGTATCATCCTTGCTCTCTC